TCTAAGGAATATTGGAAACCTCCTTAAAGAAGGTGTTTGGGTGCCTCACGAACTTTCTGATGATCATTGTTTACAATGTGTGAACGTTGCTTCGTCTCTTCTGGTGCGTAATGCGCGTGAACCATTTTTGGACAGAATTGTCACCGGTGATGAAAAATGGATTCTCTATGCGAATATTAAATGCCAAAAACAATGGTCAGTCCTAGACAACAACCACTTCCGACCCCAAAACCTGGACTCCATCTGCAGAAAGTGATGCTTTGCATTTGATGGGACTTGAAAGGAGTAATTAATTTCAAACTCCTCAATCCACAGCGAACTGTCAATGCAGAGATCAAAAGTCAGCAATTGGAACATTTAAATCAAGCTCTTCATCAGAAACGCCCTTATTTTTCTTCTCCACGACAATACACGTACACATGTGGCACGTTTGATGTAACACAAGATTATGGAGTTGGGTTTGGAAGTTCTCCCCCACCCACCATATTCTCCAGATATGGCACCATCAGATTACCATCTTTTTAGTTCGCTGCAACACCATCTTAATGGGAAAACGTATGCAAGTGAGGAAAGTGTTAAAGAGGACATCAACGTGTTTTTTGCTTCAAAGCCAAGTAATTTATTTAATCAAGACCTGATTGTAAGATGGAAAAGCGCCATCGATAAGAATGGAGACTATTTCATTTAATAAATGTCTTGATATACAAGTTGTTCGGGCTTTTTATCTAATAAAAGCGACATTAATTTCTTGACGACCTAATATATGCGAGATGAGTAAATAATTTAACCAGACATTTCTTAAAATACAAGACAGTGAAAGTCTTCTTATGAGTACAGTATTTGTTCGTGTAACATATGATTTGAATAAGTTATATGTTCGTGTAGCATATAATTTTTATAAATTATATGTTCGTGTAGCATTATAATTTTTATAAATTATATGTTCGTGTAGCATTATAATTTTTTATAAATTATATGTTCGTGTAGCATATGATTTTTATAAATTATATGTTCGTGTAACATATGATTTGAATAAGTTATATGTTCGTGTAGCATTATAATTTTTATAAATTATATGTTCGTGCAGCATTATAATTTTTATAAAATATATGTGTTCGTCTAGCATTATAATTTTTATAAAATATATGTGTTCGTCTAGCATTATAATTTTTATAAAATATATGTGTTCGTGCAGCATTATAATTTTTATAAAATATATGTGTTCGTGTAGCATTATAATTTTTATAAAATATATGTGTTCGTGTAGCATTATAATTTTTACAAAATATATGTGTTCCTGTAGCATTATAATTTTTTTATAAAAATTAATTTAAACTTTTGGACATCAAAAATGAACTTTACTTTCAGCTTAACACCATAGTATATTGTGTTACTCTTGTATATTTCAAAGGTCACCTTCACAGTTTACATGTGTTTGTTTTTGTTGTTGTGCAATACATGTTTTCAAGCTTTTTTATCAAAAAAAAAAATCAGAGCCAAAGTTTCAATATCTCCCTACCAGCACCAATCTAATTGTTTCCGACTGGCTATCTTTCTTTACTTCTACCTTTCCTTATGAAAGCATTGTTCAACGGAACAACAGTTATGTTATGCGATACTGAGCAGATGTTTTATTTACGTAGATCATGCGTAGTACGGAAATGTAAAGGTCAAGTGTTATGGCGTATTTATTTCTGTTAAGAAGTGGCTACGACTAACTTTCTGTAAATTAACAAGATTCCTGTATATAAGTGAATCCTATTTCAATAACCATTCATTGTTAAATAGTAATATATCTCTTATTTTTATGGTTATAAAAATTTCTTGGTTAATAAATAGACCCTGTTAATAGGAACGCTTCTCTCTGATTAAAGCATTTCTCTGTTAATAATTTCTGTGTTAAATATATGCTCCTTGCTTAATTAA